CTTCAAAAGACCTTGAGGACACAGATAAACCTCCAAGGGGCCTCAACGACCCTCTAAAAAGGATGCAAATGACCAGCTGCAAAGAGTATAAATCCTTCCCTTCCCCACCATTTTGGTCAGAACTGAAGAAGCTTCTGGGATGAAAACGTCTTCAAAAGAAAAGCGAAATGTCTTCAAAAGAAAAAAAAACCAAAAAAATCCAGTGGCCTCCTGAAAAAAAAAATCACCTTTGGGAAAAACCATGACCTGGAGGACTGGAGAATCTCTACAGACTTTTAGCTATGCCATTTGGGACGGACACCCTTCGAATGGGGTGGGAGTAAGAATGGATTTCCAAGTGGAAAATAAATTGCAGACTATAGGAACCAGGAGCATCACTCAGGTGACTCTGAGGAAACAAATAAACCTCCAACGACCCTCTAAAAGGATGCAAATGACCGGCAGTATTAAATCCTTCCCTTCCCCTCCATCCAGTCAGAGCGGAAGGAAGCTCCTTGGATGAGAAGCGAAACACCTTCAGAAAGAAAAAGCAGAAAGTCCCGGAAAAGCGCCTTTGTGGGACAACCACGACCTGGAGGACTGGAGAATCACCAGAGACATATATCTTATTAACGGCTGCACCACCACCACCCCAAAAAAACCTCTGCAAGCTTGTGCAACGAGCAAAAAAAAAAAAAAAAATCTTTATTCTGTACAGCTGCCAGAATCATCATCTTGTAGGAGCGCAAGAAATTTAATAAGGAAATAAACAAAACGAATCAATAAAGTAAAAAGAGAAAGAAAGACACCACGAGCCTTTGCATTGCTTTGTGAACCCACTGCTCCCCACCCACAATGGCCCCCAGACCCCCTCAGCATGCACACACACACACACACACACACACACACACACACGATACAACCTTGCTGGAGAATGGCGAAAAAGAGGCACAGGGGAGCACACAATTCCCTTCCTACCTGTTGCAAGAGGCAGCTTTCAAGGCCTAGGGGGAGGGAGTGGGTGGGTGGGTGGGTGGAAGCCGCCGCTGCTGCTGCTACTTCAGATGGATTCCTTTAAGTAGCCCACCCTTCCAGTTCCCGGCCAGGGATGAGGTGGTTTTTTTTTTTTGTGTGTGTGCAAGAGGCAAAGCTGCCCATTTTAGGATAAGAGAGGCATAAACGCCAGCCGTGGAGGCGGGAGGGCAGGAGTGTGTGCTTCTCTGTGTGTGTGTGTGTGTGTACGTGTGACTCACACAATTTCTTCCTCGCCTGACTTTTAAGGAAGATATAACCGCACGCCCAAATACAGACAGGCAGAGGGGTCCCTCGGGGCTCACACCGAGCTGGGTAGACTTTCCTGCGAGACGTTTCATGGGCCAGACAAGGTAACACGATCAGGGCTAGAAGGGAGAGGGGGTTTGCGAGGAGGAGGAGGAGGAGGAGGGGGAGGGGGAGGAGGAGGAGGGGGAGGGGGGGGCGGGGGGGGGGGGGGGGGGGGGTGGGCTCTGAGCTGGGTGGCTTTCTTTCAGATGTTTCACGAGCCAACTAGGTAACAATCTCAGGGCTGGTAGGGAGGGGCGTTTGCAGAGAGGAAGAGGAAGAGGAGGAGGGGGAGGAGGAGGAGGAGGAGGAGGAGGAGGAGGAGGACTGCGGGGTCCTTGGTGCTTTCTGAGCTGGGTGGTTTCGTTATGGACGTTTCGTGACCCAACTAGGTAACATCACCAGTGCTGCAGGTAGAAGGGAGTGCGATGTGCATAAAGGGGGAGGGGGAGTGGGGGAGGGGAAGGGGGAGCAGGAAGAGGACTGTAGGGTCCTTGGTGCCTTCCAAGCTGAGCGGTTTCCTTGTAGACGTTTCGTGACCCAACTAGGCAACGCCATCGGTGCAGGGATGACGTTCCCTAGTTGGGTCACGAAACGTCTGCAGAGGAAACCACCCAGCTGGGAGACACATCCCACCCCCCAAGGAGCCCCCCCCCTCCTCCTCCTGTCAAACCCCTGAGCTGCAACCCCCACCCCCCTCCTCCATCCTCCAAACACAACCTACCTTCCTCTTCTTGAAGTGCTGGCGGGCGAGGAAGCCCCGGCAGGCGGCCTGGAACAGGGTGATGCTTCGGCACAGCTGCTTGTCCCGCTGCTCCTCCAGCTTAGCCAAGGTCCCTGCCCGGAAGAACACCTGGGGGGCAGGTAGAGTGGGGGGGGGGGCGCAGGAGGGGAGGAGGGGGGGGGGGGGGGGAAGCAATGCCGAAAGACGGGGGTCAGTCCCAGCTGCGGCTGGCAGGCTCCCCGCGCAGAGAGAGAGAGAGAAGGGGGCTCGGACGCCTGCTGGCCTCAGTGGGTGCTACGGAAGGGGGTTTTTCGGCCGAGCCAGGGCCCCTCTTTTTGGAGGGGACATGCAGGGGGTCCTCCAGGAGCCCGCATTAGGCCCTCCGAGGGGCCCCACGTCGTTGGGCGAGCGCAGGTGGCAAAGGGGGAGACAGGAGGCCCAAATCCGGCTTCCACTGCACGGACTTCCAAGGTGCCAGGGCGAAACTGGGGTGGGGGGGTTGGGGGGGGGGAGGGGGCAGGTCAAGGGGAAGGACCCTTCTCCTTCACCCCCCCACCCCCCACCCCACTCTGGGCCTGGAGGCCTGGAGGAAGGAGACACCCCTCCCTTCTTCTATCCGAGACTGCACCCCGTACGGTAGAAGCCGCGGCAAGCAAGCTCCCCATAACTTGGCGGAGGCAAGGAAGATTCTCGCCGTCTCCTCCTCCTCTTGGAGTGAATCAGCCAGCCGCCCCCTCCCGGGGGGGGGGGGGGGGCGGGGCACTTTTCCCGGCCTGCCGGGGGGGGGGGGGGGTTGACTTCACACACACATGTACCCTGGGAGCGCTCTCTGTGTGTGTGTGTGTGTGTGTGCGTGGGCACGTTCGTAGACGCGAGCCAGGAGCTTCATCACGTCTCTCTTGCCAACAGCTCTGCCTGGCTGTACCGGCTGCATGTGGGATCGCCGTGCCCATCGTCCCCAGCCCGTGCAAAGCACCCTGGGTGGGTGCGGGAGGGACTCTGGGCTCGTGGGCCCGTTCCAGGTTTCCTGGGAAAGGCGGGGGGGGGGGCGTCCGAGGCAGGGAACGCCCCTCCCTGGCAAAATTATGACATTATTGGGAAATTGGTTGCGTTTGGCAAATGCTTTTGAAAGAAAGGGTGTGTGTGTGTGTGTGTGGCTGTCTAACACACCGCAAACAAGGTAGTTCTCGATTTACGACTGTCACTGAGCATAGAACTGCAGGGATGAGGCATTCTGGTCCTAAAGCGAAGCAGCCACGGAACAAAATAATTTTACGGGCTTTTGGGGGGGAAAGTGGGAATGAAGGACGCGGTTGGCTACGCAAATCTTGCGATGGTTAAACGAACGCCATGGTTGTTAAGCGAACACCATGGTCGTTAAGTGACCACCACGGTCGTTAAGTGAATACCATAGTTGTTAAGTGAACACCATGGTCGTTAAGTGAATACAATGGCTTTTAAGTGAACACCATGGTCATTAAGTAAATGTCATGGTCGATAAGTGAACACGATGGTTGTTAAGTGAACACCATGGTTGTTAAGTGAATACAAGTTGTTAAATGAACACCATGGTCATTAAGTGAACACCACAGTCGTTAAGTGAACGCCATGGTTGTTAAGGAAATGCCATGGTTGTTAAGTGAACACCAGGGTCATTAAGTGAACACCATGGTCGTTAAGTGAATACCATAGTTGTTAAGTGGACACCATGGTCGTTAAGTGAATACAATGGTTTTTAACTGAACACCATGGTCATTAAGTAAATGTCATGGTAGTTAAGTGAACATGATGGTTGTTAAGTGAACACCGTGGTCGTTAAGTGAATACAATGGTTGTTAACTGAACACCATGGTCATTAAGTAAATGTCATGGTAGTTAAGTGAACACGATGGTAGTTAAGTGAACACGATGGTTGTTAAGTGAACACCGTGGTCATTAAGTGAACACCACAGTCGTTAAGTGAACACCATGGTTGTTCAGGAAATGCCATGGTCGTTAAGTGAACACCATGGTCATTAAGTGAACACTATGGTTGTTAAGTGAACACCATGGTCGTTAAGTGAATACAATGGTTG